TGTAGATTGTTAACTCATGCTTTTGAACAAACATTATAACATGATTTTCTGTAGGATACATGATCTGAATGCTAGATGCCATATCTAGATATAGGGAACAAGTTTAATATTAAAAAAGCCTGCAGTAATTAAAAAATGTTTGAAATCCAATTTCTTCATTTGGTACACAGAAATTTTTTTTTTTTGAAGAGCAGGAGTTACTTTGATTAAACCAAGGGGACTAAATATTTAAACAGGAGCAAGTGCTCTATTTGACTGTGGATATTATCAACTTCTTCTATACTAGAATTCTCTGGTCTTAAATTTTTGTTAAATTACTCTGATTTTTAGGTAACATATCACAAACCAAAAATCAACAAATATACGTGTTCATTTTTCATCACTGATATTTTGTGTGTATTTAAATTTGCAAGAATTTAACAGTCCCTCTTTTTGGTTACAGATTTGCATGAAACATTTTTTCTCTTTCTCTTTTTATACGGTTGATCTGATTATCTAAGCTGCTTTCTCACATTTTGTATCCAAGTTTTAGGTGGTGACTTTCGTTTCCAAGTCAGGTATAGTAAGTTAATTTTTTTTTTTACTGATTATTTTATATATATTTTTTCCTTAAAAAAAAAAAAAAAATGATCTAACTCAATTTTTTTGATTTGCGGAGTTAAAATAATTCTAACCTTGCAATTTATAGTTGTTCCCACATTTTTTGATTGCTGGTTTTTGGTAGGTAATTTTTGTTTTTAGCTAACTAAATTAAATTTTCCTACCGTCTTTATATGTGTTATGGAGATCATGGTTGAAATATATTTAAGTTTAAGTTTTTTATTCGGATTATTGATATTTATGCTTTCTTTTAGTAGTTTAGCTTTGGGGCACAGTGAATGGGGTTACAGTGAATAGGTTGATTCACTATGCCTAATTAATGATCTTAAAGATTAAATTCATGTATTTTTAACAAACAAACTACACGAAAATCAAATAATTAGTTTTAAGTTATGAATAACAATATTTGAATAATTTTTAATATTTTTATAAGTTTTGTTTTCAATAAAAATTTTTTTATTACTTCTCGATTTTCAAAATGTCTATTTTTTCAATTTTACACTAATCTAGTTAATAAAAGCATGCCAAAAGTATAGTGTATATTGTCTTTACTCCCTCAGCCTCAAAGTTATTTAGCTATGCCTCTATTCACTATCAATAATTATACGTGGTATTACTATGTTATATTTTTACGTTGGCTCATATTATGTCATGTAGTTATAACGTAACAATGTGTAAATTTATTAAAGTTGTAAAAAAAAAAAAACTCATGGCTGTGTTCATTTATTCACTGTTAGATAATAAATATTTGGGTTTTAGTGATTTCTTATCATAAAAGACATATATCTTGATTATTTCGCCTTGAAAAAAAGAAAATATATATTTTAACTTTTGCAT